GGCGCCGATTGCGGTCAGTGTTCAACGGCGATTGGCGAAACGACATGGACTCCCTCTTCGCCCTCGTCTCCTAGCAACTATGGAAGGAACGGAACGCAAGATGTTTCCGGGAGTCGACATCGACCGTTGGCGACCTACTGCACATCATCAATGCCGAAGCCGACCACTGGATTCAGGTCGGAGCAGACGGGCTACGTGCGTTGGCGTAGGGCTAGGACGTCGTCAAGATAGCCATGGTTCAGGAACATTTTATCTCATAATGTAGCGTGCACAAAAACTAACGGTCGGGAGCGGAACTCTTGTATTGTATTATAAATTCTTTCTTCTAATACAATGATATGCACACTCGTGCGTATTTGAGAGAAAAAGATTAGTATAGGTGTAAAATTACGCATTTGTTCCTCCTCTATCTGTGCACAAATGGTTGTCTTTTGGAATGTTCTTCTCATGAATGATAGTTTTTAGTAATGTAGTGATATTTTTAATTGATGGATCCCATTTAAAAAATTGATCTCTAACTCTACGATTACATTTTTTTTGAAAAAAGTTTAAAATGCAAGATTACATTCTTAGGCCTTGTTTAGTTACCCTCAAAATTCCAAGTTTTTTCACTCTCTCTTCATCACATCAATTTTTAGCCGTTTGCATGGAGCATTAAATGTAGGTAAAAAAAATAACTAATTGCACAGTTTAGTTGGAAATCACGAGATGAATCTTTTGAGCTTAGTTGTCCACGATTAGACAATATTTACCAAATAAGACAAAAGTGCTACTATTCATCGGGTTGAAATTTCTTTCAATCTAAACGAGACCTTTTTTTTTTTTTTTTTTTTGACAGAGTTAGTACACGAGTTGCGTACTGTACGTCACAGTGGTGTGGTACCAGGCAGCGTGGAGATGACGAGGGACCGGATGAGGACGGGTGGAAGGAAGTGGCAGACTGGCAGGTGTGGTGACTGGTGTCCGAGTCAGACCCAGCTCTGGGAATCCAACGTCCTCTCCGTGCCTGTCGGCTCGGTTCGCTGCATCTCTCTGCCGTCTGCACCCCCCAGACAACCAGTCCAATCGTGACAGCGAGTAGGGTAGGGTGGACCGTCTCAGTCTCTGTCTCTGTGGGTGGGCCTGACGCCTGACGCCTGACGCCTGACGCCTGACGCCTGAGCCTCCTCCAGTCAATGCTGACGATGAGAGAGAGAGAGAGGAGAACAGCCGCAGGCCCACACACAGTGGTGCATGGCCCCCATGTGACTCGTGCTCCCGCCGCGAGCCGCGGTCCCGCCTGCCAGCCTCAAACGGACCACGGATGATGCGATGCGACGCGACGACGCACCGCGGCAGCATGCCGAGCCCTGCGTTGTTTTGTTTTGGGGCCGCCGCAGCGCCATGCCCATCTGCTTGCTCTCGTCTCCAGTCGTCTGCTCTCTTGGAGTACTCGTTCAGTCTGTCTCACTCTCTAGGAATGGGCTCGCTCGTCGCATCACATGTGTGGGTGTTTCGGACCGGGTCCTCAACCAGGAAATATGAACTGGGTGTTTCTAATCTCGAATGATGATGCAAAGAGACATAAGGTTTATACTGGTTCAGATAATTAATGCCCTACGTCCAGTATAAGAGATCGATCTTGTATTCCTTGCACCGAAATGCTTGTAGTAGAGGGTTACAAGCTAGGTGAGAGAAGGAGCTAGTCCCAGGTCTCGGCGTGGAGCAGTGCGAGCTGCTTGAGACGTTGCTCTCAGACAGCTTGGGAGAGCGTGTGTCTACGTGTGCCTATATCCGTGAGCTCATGAGTGCCTCCCCTTAAGAACGGCCCCGGTCTCCCTTTTATAGTTGAAGGAGGGACAGGGGTGATACATGTGTTCGTCATGCGGCGAGCGGAGGTGACGTGCCGGAGTCCTGTAGCTTACTACTGTAGCGGCATGGTCAACGGAGTGGTCTTGTCCTTGATGTACTGGAGCAACGCGTCGGTCACACCGATTTAAGTATGACGTGGGCGCTCCAAAGTGACAACCTTTGACGCAGGTATGGCCGACGGTGTCTTTGGTCGCTATGGGTTGATTTGTGAAAAGAGCGAGGCTCAGTTGGTGCCGAGGACGAGCCATCGTGAGGGGTTCGGTGGGCGCGAATCCCGATGCTGCCGAGATCTGGAGATGGATTGCCGAGGCCTTGGAGGAAGCAGTTGGTTTTATGCACCGATTCCATGGCTACTGATGACCGTGCTCGCTTCCTCACGCCGTCTTTGCTCTTGGAGAAATTAGGTAGCACAAATCTGATCTGACGCGCGCCAGCATGGGTGCGATCTTGAGCACAAAGGCTGCGAACTCCCTGTTTCGCCCTGTCTCATGTCTCGTCGGCCACCTTAACATCTGCGTCAAGGCCCACGCGGGTGGCGTCGTCATGGAGTGGTTGGACGCGTGACGTTTTGTCAGAGAAGTCGGTCGAGGCGGAGGCGACAAGGTTGTTGCCGAGCCGGCCTCGAGCGAGTCGGAGAATCGGTACTTCGTCCGAGGCTTCACTCGCGGAGCCTCGGGCGAATCGAAGAATCGGTAACCCGTCCGAGACCTTGCGGAGCGGGGCCTCGGCATGAGAGGGCCTCGGCGAGGCGGAGAGTCATTGCGACGCGGGCTTCAGGCGAGTCGGAGAATCGATCGAGACCCTGTCGTTGTCCTTTGGCTTTGATATCTGTGAGGTCCTAAGCAATCTTTTAGTTCTTGCTTAGGATAACTTTTTTTTTTTAGTATCCGACAACATGGCACCAAACTCCGAGTCATCCATGCAGATGCAGTGTCGTCAAGTGTGCCCCCATTGGCCCATTTCCCATTCGGCGTGCTGCCCAACAGAATCCAATCCAATCTGTGGTCTGGTAGACTGGTATACATGCAGCGCCGCGGTTTGCCGTTCGCCCGCTTGCTATTTGCCATCAACGGCGACATGCATTGCAGCAGCACCGGCATGGTCGGTCGCGCCATGAGTTGCTTGCCCTCATTTCTTTTTTCTAATAAGAAAAAAACATCCCAACTTTCACAGTTTTACTACCATCTCTTAAACCCGGAGAACTCTATTCTGAATCCGTAGTAAGCACGACATTACCCGGACTGATGCAAGCCACGACACGTACTCCATGTACGGAGTACTAGTTAGCTAGAGTAGTTAAAGGCCTTCTTCGCTTGAGCTTATCAGCCAGAATCGGCTCTACTTTTCATCTATAGTAACGGTGTTTTTCTTTCATGACAAATTAATCCTACAAATCAGCCACAACATCCATAAGTCCCGCCGAACAACTATAAAGAGCACCTAGCTACACACCGTAGGAGTTCTCTTCAAATCACATGGCATTGCATTAGATCATCTACGGGTAGAGGACGAGCCGTAGCTCAGTTGGCTTGCTCAGGGGCGAATCTAGGATATCGTGTCACTGGGGTCAAGAACTAAGCAATGGGGTCAAAGATGTGTTGATTTTCTATTTGAAGAGCAATTTGCTGGTGGATGAAAGAATTTTTGGCAAGTTATCGGGGTCAGCTGATCCCAATGGTTACACATAGATTCGCCCCTGGGCTTGCTCGCTGTGGTTCGAGCGGCCGGTCTTGGGTTCGATTTCTGGAGTCAACCCAGGAGCCTCACTTTGGAGATTTATTCTTCGTTAATAATTTCAGTTGCCTCTCGCGCAGCTATGCCACAATGGTTAAGTGATGTGCCCGTCACGCTCGGAGTCTGGTGATCTTCGAGTATCTCTCAGCTGCGTTCGTTGTCTATGTATAGTTATAGGTTTATTTGTATATCGTGTGTGTGAGGTGTGCATGTGTGTGGTGGTGGTATGTGTCTGTACTTGAACAGATTCTACAACTGTACTTAGAGATAAGAGGCAAAAAAAAAGATCATCTACAGGTAAGATAACAGTACTAATAATGTACTTGACCTTAGCACGGTTATTATCAACAATATTGTAACCACCGGACAGGTGGATTAGGCTAATCAGAATCCCTACTGCCAAGTGCCAACCAACTAATCAGTACTAATCAGCCTGTTCGCTTGCTCGTAAACGATCGTAAATTTCCAGTCGAGAACAGTGTTTTCTCTCACACCAAACCAACCAGCACTAAATAATCCACGATACGATATGGCCTTCCGAACAGGCTGTTAAACTGCAGTGGCTACAATTAGCCCGTGTGCAAATCGCTTCTGGAGCGGCAGCTAGCAGTGGCTGCTGGACCATGCATGTCGCGTTTACCACCTGCCTATGTTTACCCACCCACGCTAAACAAAGTAAACGTGGAACCTAGCTAAGCGGTCAACGGTCACAACAGTGCACCGACAATTGGTTCGTTTGGCTATGGCGGGTCGTAAACGATCGTAAATTTTTAGTCGGAATAATATTTTTCTCTCACACAAACCAACCAACGATACTTCTTTATGAACCAACAAACATGTGAACCAGCCAACCAAACAGTACTTCTCTCACTAGTCAGCGGCGGTACAAGGTCAAAGCTCGCACCGTCCATGGAACAGAACCCAGTGCTAGGTGCCACCCGAGCACCGTACCCGGCAGGCACGACAAATACGTGTCACGTTCAACTGCCTGTACCGACCGCTGGCGAGGCCCCCAGCCTCGGTCTTATCCACACCACTATATCCACTTCCGCCCGCCTTTAACCGCACGGTAAAAGCGGCCGCAACCGCCGCCAGGGCGCATCCGCCCGTCGGCCCGCGAGGATCCGACGGTCCCCTGCCCGAGCGAGAGTTACCGCACGCGGAAGCCGTTGCGGGGGAGGGGAAAAGAGGCGTGGGTGGGGTAAAAAGCGTGCGTGGGCCCTCCCTTTCTGTCCTCTAAATGGGCGCTGCTTTTCTCCTCTCTTCGCCACATCCGCCATTGCAGCGTCGTCTTCTCTCCCTCGTCGAGCTCACCCTCGTTTCTCTCCTCTGCCCTCGCGTGCTCTCTCCGCTGCTGCAGCACCCTCGCTCGTTAGCACGCTCCTTGCGTAGTGTGGGATTCGATTTCGGACGGCATGGCTGAGGCGTTGTGCAAGAGCGTCGTGGCGTCGCCGTGCGCCGGGGATGTGGGCGTGGCCGGCCGGGCCAGGGGCGCCGCCAAGGCCGCGCTCGCGGAGTCCCTGCCGGTCGGCGGGTACGCCACCAAGAGCTCCTTCTCCGCCGGGAGGATGTCGGTGTCGGATAGGAAGCCGAGGCCCCTGTCTCGGAGCCTCGAGGCCGCCGCGGCGCCTGGACAGGTTGGTCGCTTCATTAAGCGCTTCCTGTGTTGTTTCACTTGCAAGATTCAAATAAAGGGCTCAAATAAAAAGATTCTTATTTTTTCTAGATTCAATTCCCGCCGTGGGAATTTGGATCTCTATTTCCCCCCTTACTCATTGTCGGGCTTGGAATTTCTTTGGCCTGTTGAAGGCTGCTGGATTCGAGCTAAAAATCTGTGCCCCCTTGTTGCTGCAGATGAACCTGTCGTTTCCCAAGGCCATGCGGTGGTGGGAGAAGGGTGTGCACCCCAACATGCGGGAGATTGAGTCCGCGCAGGACCTCGCAGACTCCCTCCTCAACGCCGGCGACAAGCTCGTCGTCGTCGACTTCTTCTCCCCAGGCTGTGGCGGCTGCCGCGCCCTCCACCCCAAGGTACGCAGCTCGCTCGCTGCTGAAAACCTGCCGCGTCTGATTCCAAGAACACCCAGAGATTTGGTCGATTCTATTCTCTGTGCTGACGGGGATTGATGGATTCTGCCGCGCAGATTGTCCAGTTCGCCGAGAAGAACCCGGACGTCCTGTTCCTGCAGGTGAACTACGAGACGCACAAGTCCATGTGCTACAGCCTCCATGTCCATGTCCTCCCGTTCTTCAGGTTCTACAGGGGAGCCGAGGGACGGGTCAGCAGCTTCAGCTGCACCAATGCAACGGTAAGAATCGACCACCTCTCCAACTCTAAGAAGCAGTAGATGAATGCATTGTAACATGTTTGCTACAATTGTGCTTGTTTTCAGATCAAGAAGTTCAAGGACGCGCTCGCCAAGCACGGGGCTGACAGGTGCAGCCTCGGCCCTGCGCGGGGTCTGGACGAGTCCGAGCTCGTGGCCTTGGCTGCCAACAGGGACCTGCAGTTCACCTACGAGAAGCCGGTCCTCGTCCCGCTCGCGGAAGCTATTGCCAAGGAGGCTGCTGCACCGGGAGCGGGAGGCCCATGGCTTCCTCTGCCTGCGTCCGCGACTCAGCAGCTGCTCAGCCAGGGATCGGATAATTCATTGTTGTCATCTGGAAGATAGACAACCCTAGTTAGTTTCATCGGATGCGCAGGCTTAATCTTTTGTAAAGTCTGCTGCTCTGACTTTTGCGTCTGTATCGTTGCATCTATAGTGTTAGCAGCAGGGAATTTGGGGAAGAGCAATCGGGGATAGGTAGAAGAAATCAGGATCGAGTCGGACGAACAGCAACGAAGGGAGTTAGGATGGCATAACGAGGAATCTTAGGCAAGTAGATTGTGTGTGGTTTACAAATCGGATAATGGCCCTCCCGAGCTCTCAGCTAAACTTATCTGTATCAGCCACTTACAGGGCTTGGGCCCGGACATGCACACGCAGGTGCTTAAGCCCATTCATTTCCAAAAATCCTGTTGTTGGGCTTCTTGTTCCTTCCGCTTCTTCTTGGCCCACGGTCCACTGCACCGGGTTCTTCAGAGGAGACTGGGGTGTTAACATATAGACCTTTAGATCTTGCTCAAGCATGAAAATCCTTTGCTTGGCGAACCTGTCTGGGTCATTCCAATCCTCTATGCAGCGAGAAGTCGTTTCTGCATGGTTGATACTAATATTCATGCAGCTTGAGCTGCCCTGTCTTTCCAGTTTGTCTTGCTGCTGCAAGGTTCAGTGCTCGAAAGCTTGAATTCTGCCCTTTGTGTCCAAGCTGAAGTTTTGTTGCCTGAACCAGAATCACTGAATCAACCCACCTGTTTGTTCCTTGATCTGAACTTGCAGTTTCATTTATTTGCGTGACCTTGTCCTGAAACAGATGTCTGTCCGTTGGGTATTGCTATGCTGGCGCATTGAGTCAGGATAATCGTTAAAGATGACTGTTCAGACGAAAGGCCAAACCTGTTTTAGGGCCTCTTTGTTTCTACGCGCTTCTAAAATTCCTGCCACATCGAATGTTTAGACACATGCATGGAGTATTAAATATAGATTAATTACGAAACTAATTACACAACATGCGACTAATTTGCGAGACGAATCTTTTAAGCCTAATTAGCCCATGATTTGACTACATGGTGCTACAGTAAACATGTGCTAATGATAGATTAATTAGGTTTAAAAAAACCGTCTCGCAAATTAGCCTCCATCTATATAATTGGTTTTGTAATTAATCTATATTTAATATTCTTTATTAATATCTAAACATTTAATGTGACATGAATTTTAGGAACAACTAAAGAACCAACCATCCTCTTATTTTGCTCCCTCATTTCAGCATGATCTTATCAGCTCTGAAGTAGTTTCATGGATAAGGGCATAAGGCAGTCTGTGGCTCCTGTCTTTTAGCTTGTATATCCACGGGAGAAGTAATGGCCATTCCTGATGGTATTGGTAGGTCTTAGGTCATGATCTTGGCACATGAGACGGAAAGGCGTGCGTTATCTTGGCATGTGCCGGCCGATAGTGGGGGTCATGATTTTGAACTGGAGGGGATCAGACATTCACTTCAACAATACAGCTACAAGAAACAGTAAAAAAGCACAGTTGGAATTTGTTTAAGACTTAAGCATCCAAGCGGCCAGGCCCGTGAGCATTGTTGTCTGTTGAGCGTTTTAGCATCAGAGTTTGTATGTCTCCCTTGACAGATACTGTAGCTTGTTAAGACAAGCTAGCTGAACTGAATGCACCTTCACGTGCGCAACTGCTACTGAACCTCACCGCAGCTGCTTGATTTGTGTATGGGCAACAGTTGTTACTCGTACAGATAGGGGTATGTGGATGCTGCTGCTGCAATCACAAAATGAAGATCTTCACGGAACTGCTTGCGCATCCGTCAGAGTCAGAGGGGAGGTGCTGTTTCCGATTCCGATAGGAGGGGGAGATTCCAGATGAGAATCACACGACGACGTCACAGAGATGGTGACATCCATGACCACAAAGATATATATATATATATTCTTTTTCAGTAACAGCGATTGAACAGACTGCAGATGAACGAAGTGGATAGAAAAAATATCTCGACAGGCAGACTAACAAACAACAGCCCGAAGAGCTATCCGAGTGCAGAGTTTGAGCGTCGATTTGTGGTACGGTTCATGGCTCGATAGTTTGGATTTCTAAAAAAAATAAAAAAAAATCAAAGGGGCTCGATAGTTTGGATTGTCTTGAATCGGGGCACAGGTAGTCCGAAGCATCAGAAAATTCAGAAACGCACACAGATTGATCTGAGAATATCCGAACGGTGTGATGGGAATCAGAGGGCAGTTGGTTTACTTTCAGTAACAGCGACGGGATAGAAATAGACTGCAGATGGAGTGGATGAAATATCTCGCTCAGCTGGACAACTGGTAGGCCGGTAGGCAAACAAGCTGAACCTGAATACTGAAGAGGCAGCCGATCGCGTCTTGACAGGGCCGAGAAGGCCTCCAACGAACGAAATAATAGATTGGGCTTCCGGGGATGCGTGCAAGTGCAACGGACCGGCCCAATCAACAGGTACTACCTGACTATCTCCCTCTCCCACCAGGAGGGACCCGGCCCAGTGGCTGTCCGTCCGTGTGCACTGCTCTTGCTGGGGCGGATGCGGTATGGTAGGCCATTTGGGCGGAGCCGCAACCGATGCCAGTGGACGGTCCAAGATTCCCTCCACACCCTCCTGCGTGCAACAGGTGCAGGCAGCCCAGAAGAAAGAAATGGTTGGCACTATATAACTCCGCAACACGGGCATTTCCCTCAAAAAAAAAAGAAAACCACGGGCATGGGCGGAATCGTGGGGAATCCATTATCCATCCAAGGGGCAAAGGCGCCGGCCGCGCCATCGCTTTGACGGGACAGCTAGATGGAGGCCGGAGGCTGTGGAGGCGCCGGGCCGGAGACATCAACCTTGCAACGTGTCAGTCGTACTAGCATGCATTTTCTTCCCACCGAAACAGACGTGATCCATCTTCCCACGCCGGCCGCCGCACGGCCGGTTGTCCTACCTCGTGGACACCACCTCCTTTTGCAGTACCCACCTTTGCTTTGTTTGTTTACACACGGCAAAGATCGTCCATTCCGTCCACCTTCCACCACACACTAGTCTGTGCTATCCTATCCTATGCCGCCGATATCATACAGTAATATTCACATATCGCTTCCGTCGGTTCGGCAAGTGGTAACTGGAAAAGGAAGAGTACGGCCAAAACCCAAGCACAGTAGTGGCAGAGCAGGAGCAGGAGCAGGAGCATTGCAGAGATGATAGCGGCCGGGGGGGTCCCATCTGGGCGGTGCGCTGTAGGAGTAGCAGAGGAAGAGGACGGCCGCCGTCTTATCCTTGCCTAGTGCCACTGCCATCCCCAGCCGGCAGGGGCCAAACCTCTGTTCTCGCCTCGCGTCTAGATCCGCAGCTTCCGCCCCTGCCACGTCCTTATCGCTCAGCCTTCACAGGGGAGGATGGGCCCAGCAATCGTTGTTGTCAGGTGAAGTGAAGAGGGCAGGGTGGGTGAACGCACACTCGCGGCTGGCACAGGACAGACGAGGCAAAGCACGTGGATTGGAGTCCGACCGCTCCCTCCAGTGACAGCCAGCTCGCCGTGCCCGTGCTCGGGCTGCCTGCCTGCTGGTGAAGCCGACCACGTTCTCGACTTGGACACGCGCGCGGGCGTTGTTATCTTTGTCGTCCATGGACCATGACCGACTCGGGCGGTGAGCAGTGACTCCCTCTCCGATGGAGGGCCCAGCGCCGCGACCTGTGTGTACGTAGGAGTGGTCGAAAACGATGGCTTCCATTTCCAAGTATCCTATGCATGCGACCGGGCGACGTGCGGAGACAGACACCTGTAGTACGAGTATACAGTACGACGATGCTACTAGTAGTACGCCGGTTTGTCTGCACGCACACTGACACTCGCGCCAGCTGCCTGCCTGCCTGCTCGGCTTTCCTCAACAGCCAGCACCTCGGCACCTGTCTGTCCGTCCTTTACCACCGGTGACCTGTCGCCATCCCCGGCGCCAGCGCTCTCCTCCTCCGGCTCCGTCGCTACTAAATTTCTCACGCCGGAGCTTGAGGCCTGCAAATGGCTCCGCACGGAGGGCTGGTGGGCGCGGTTCCGCCGTGTGGGGCGCGGGATGCTATCCCGGACACTGGGGCTTGTTGACAACGGGGCAGAGCTGCGTGGGATGCGACGCGGACACGGAGGCGTAGGATCTGCATCCGGACACGGGCCTGGGGCCAGACGTCCGCCAGCCTTACCGATAATACAATTGTAAAGCTGTCACACGTATAACTGAAAACGTTCAAAGGAGATACAATGGATTTGGCCAAGCCTAGTAAACTTGCTGATTAACAACAATCGTGGCGGGGTTTTGCGTGACAAAAAGACGAATCTGACGTGTAAATGTTCCGTTTAGGCACAAGGGCAGAGAGCTTCATAATCATGCATGGTCCCCTGCCGTTTTGCCATATCCATATACACAACTAACTGATAACCCGAAACTTGTACACGATTAAACATGTTCAAGCGGCGTCGGATAGAAAAAGGCCCCACATGTAAGCATGATTGATATACTTTGAGCCCTATAGAAAATAATATGCCGTCAAATCAACTCCCTTGACTCTCGTTCCTATCCAGCCCCTACTTGTACTTGGACGTTGAAGGTGTTCCGAGCGAGATCCCACTCCCCTGGCGGAGCTCCCTCGTCCCCACGCGGCCAACGAGCTTCTTCGGGAGGGCAAACAGAGAGATGGAGCCACATCACATGCTGTGATAGCATGTACAGTAGTACTGTACTGTATATGCTCGTGACGTAGGATTTCTCTTTGTCTTAGCACCCAGCACCGTCTCCCTAGGAGCACATGCATGCCACGTTCTGATGCCGCCGCCGGCGGCGGCCGGCCGGCCGCGTGTCGCCCGTGTCGTGCGCGCGCCGGCCCCTCCTCCCGCGCGGGTCGCGATCTGCCAGCTTCCAGTGCACGCCCGCGCGCCGACCCAACAAAGCAAGCCGGAAGCTAGCTAGCGGCGATGGTTGGGGTTGGGAAATGAAACCAAAAGCGCTCTCTCGATCGACAAGCCGGGCAAAGCAAAGGTCAGTGGAAGCCAAACCGTGGGGCACATGTGTTCCCCGCGGCTTCCTTTGCTTCTGCCACCACCTGCACATGTGCTTTGGACGCTCCCTCCGATCTTCCTTCTCTTCTTCTTCTGCTGCTGCTGCGCCTGCACTGTGCGTGCGTCCATCTCCATGCGTGCCGTATGTATGTCTGGACAGAAACAGTATATATACACATAACAAGCAAGGAGTACTGTCACTGTCAGGACAAATATACAACACACACAGGCTTACCTATCTCTGCTTCTTCCTTCTTCTTTTTGCCTCAGCCTCACCCACGCTTACACACAGGCATTCTGGATCCTCCGGTAACATAGACTGGTTCGAGCCAGCTTTGATTGCCAACACTAGTGTACCATATATACCAGCAGCAGCAGCAGCAGTGTCGTCACTCGTGTGAACACATAACACAGCAGGGCCGTACTTTTTCAGCCAACGAATAGTATTTTTTTTCCTCACAATAAATCAGCCAATAATGTTTTCAACCATGGCTTATCAGCCAAGCGAACAGGGCATCGTGACGCAATGGTAGCGTGCGTCTGGCTCCCTATTCAATCCTTAGAGAATCCGGGACCTAAAGCTTCACGTACCAAACATGCCTGCAGCATCATACAATGAATTTCCATCATCCAAATCTCTTTTCTTCGACTACTGAATTTCGATGCTAGCATTATAACCTGGAAACATATGCATGATTGACCAGCCTCAGTGAAGTTTCATACCCATTTATTGAAACATAGTATACCAACAAAAATAATGACGTGGCACAAAATAAGAGAAGAGATGACAGCAACTAGCTACTCCACGCGTCCTAAATTATAAGTCACTTTCACTTTTTGGTACATTGAATTTGCTATATATATATATATATATATATATATATATATATATATATATATATAAAAGTAAATTCGATGTTTAAAAAAGTCAAAGCGTCTTATTTGGAATGGATGGAGTAGTTGACATTGTTTTCGAAGGAATAAGACTCTAACAGAACTTTCATTGAAAGCTCACGGTTTCATCCCGCACGATTTAGCTATCTTTTGTGGCTTCAACCACGCCATGCGCCTGTGCCTGCCCTATTATGATGTTCTATATGTACTATCCTCCATTTTAAAATACTCGTCACCAGCAAAACACGGTTCTTTTTCCTAAAAACAATTGAAAATGCTTAAACTTTCTTATAAATAGATTTGTTACAAAACATACTTTATTAATATTGTATACATTTAAGTATTTATGCATATTTTGTAGAAAAAATGCATGGTAAAAGATGCTACTTATATTGCAGTGCCAAGTAAATTGAAACGGAGGATATTAATTCATTCCGCATATGTGGCGACCTATTTGATCGAGTATGAATTTTGAAGCAAATCAAACTAATTTTTGACGATGTTTAACTTGGATAATATTATAAGTGGCTACACAGTTCATATGTCACATTTAATCACAAGATCATGCAACAATAATGTTGTGGTTAGCTTATAAAATTGAGACGCAATTGTGCATTCATAGAGCCTGCTTCATTCATTAACCAAAACCTGTAGAGCTCATGTGGCCCTTTTGTAAAAGTCACAATAAAACACAACACTGAGATTGGCCAAAACCCTCAATGAAACATTTCAGACTTAGTTTTTTTCCTTCTAAGGAGTGCACCGTACGAGAGACTCAGGCATACCTATTTCTCCGTGCATCCCATGCACATGTCCTTAAGGGCAAAATTTAATTTCTTAGTCAATTGTACTATTTATATAGTTACGTAAACAAAATCAAGAGGAAAAATGACTATATGATAATCTCCTACAAATTAAACACTTTTGCGGTGCACAAAAATAAGTGCATATAGAGCTACTGCCTTCAATCACAAATTTAATCCATATAATTGGTTTGAAATCAAATTTACATGTTTGATTAGTAACATCTAAAACCATACATTGCATAACATGCAACATGGACAAGCATGATAGATGCTATTAATTTTTACATCCATAGACCAATTCAACTTATATGAAAAAAGCATAAACGATAAGTAGGGATGGCAATCTTACCTGCATGTACAGGTACCCATAGGTATTGTACCCAATGGGCGTGAATGTAGGTATAAAATTCCACCCTGCGTGCAGATATGGGTATAAAATTGTACCCATGGGTACCATATTCGATAGGTGCAGGCAGGAGTGCACAATGTCATCTGCAAGTATAAAATTTTACCTGTTAGGTAATTTGTCATGGGCGGGTATGTACTCCACCCGTGCCTTACTCGATCAGCCACCATCCCTACTAATGAGAAAATATGGTCAATTTACTTTTATTTCAACACTTCCCCTCGTGTGGAGGTTGCCTACTTGCCTTAGAGCACCTCCAGTATATGTGAGAATCGAACAAGGGGATGGAAAAATCGAACCGAGCACGTTGTGGCTATCAAACCATGGGTGTCAAATATAAAATCGCATCTTGCAGACCGAGGCAGCAACAACCTTTAACTTATACTCCCTCCGTCCCAAAATAAGTGTCATTCTCGCTTTCCGAGAGGTCAAACTGTTTTAACTTTGATCGAATATATACAAAAAATATTAATATTTATGGTACATAATTAGTATCATTAGATAGATCATTGAATCTATTTTCATAATAAACTTATTTGGAGATACAAATATTGCTAATATTTTCTATAAATCTAGTCAAGGTTAAGAATGTTAAACCGACACAGAACCTAAAACAACACTTATTTTGTGACGGAGGGAGCAGTAGGAAAGCAGTACCAAGGCAGCAGTAGTAGATTCACAGAGGAGTCAAGAGCTGACGCGTGGTGAGAGATAGCCCCTGTAAATCGATGCTCACATAGTGGAGCTAGAACGTTCTGACGTATTACTGTGTGTGCAGAGCAAAATCGATTTCACACTACAGGTGACCTTAGATCTTAAAGGTGGAACAATAGTAAGCAGCATAGTTTTTTTTTTATTGAGATTATGCTAGCTAGAATTCAAACTCAAGACAAAGCCTAAACTAATGAAGAAAAGATGAACAATTCACTTATATCTGGACACTCTCCATGTCGAATTTCCTTTCCTAGAACGTGCAAAATGCACACACTGTGCTGAGAACAAGTTAGGACAAGCTATCGCACCATGTCAAGTACAGCATCAGGAGGTATATGATCACTGTTCCTGTTCTTCTTTCACTAAAACAAGGAAAAGCTAGCATATGCATATATATGCACATGCTACACACCTTAGCATGTTCAGAAAATAAAAATTGCACTCAAAAGGGGGCACATTCCATTGCACCCCTAAGCAAGGTAGCCCCTTGGATCTCCCTATAAATTTGCGCAGGCAGCAATCACATTAGTGTGTGGAAGCAGCAAGCAACACTGTCTCCTCTCCTCTTCCAGTTCCAGCTCCAGCTCGATCCATCTCCTTTGAATAGCATATATTAGTGCCGCAGTTCACTGGCCAGCCAGAGACTAAAGCAGGCAAGCAGCAGCTCACTTCAGGTAGACGAAACAACATCTCATCACATCAGATCAGAGCATCACCCGATCCTATTAATTCCAGCCTGCAGACTGCAGTAGCCGCGCGGTGCCCAGCGATCCATCCGGCCATCGACATGGAGGGCGGCCTGAGCTCGGAGCGGCACGCGGCGGCGGAGCCGGTGCGGTCGCGGTGGACGCCCAAGCCGGAGCAGATACTCATCCTCGAGTCCATCTTCAACAGCGGCATGGTGAACCCGCCCAAGGACGAGACCGTCCGCATCCGCAAGCTGCTGGAGCGCTTCGGCGCCGTCGGCGACGCCAACGTCTTCTACTGGTTCCAGAACCGCCGCTCCCGCTCGCGCCGGCGCCAGCGCCAGCTGCAGGCGCAGGCGGCGGCCGCGGCAGCCGCAGGCTCCTCGTCCTCCTCGGGATCGCCCCCCACGACCGGCCTCGCGCCGGGACACGCGGCGGCTTCGTCGACGATGGGGATGTTCGCGCACGGCGGCGCCGCCTGCGGCTCGTCCGCGTCCGCGTCGTGGCCACCCTCGCCGCCGCCGTGGTCGTGCGCGGGGATGATTGGCGACCTGGACTACGGCGGCGGCGACGACCTGTTCGCCATCTCGCGGCAGATGGGCTACGCCAACGGTGGTGGCTCCAGCTCGGCGTCCTCGGCGGCCGTCGCCCCCCACGAGCAGCAGCAGCAACTTTACTACTCGTCGTGCCAGCCAGGTGAGCGCGCCAAAAGCCACGCCATGCATGCATGCTTCATGCTCTGGATCCATGGATCGATCCTCGATGCTTGGTTTTCATCGAGTTTAATTCCTTGGTCGTCGTGGGCTCTTCTTCACTTTCAAGTTGAGGGAATGAAATCCTTTCACTCCTAGCCGGCCTTTTGGGTCATATCCATACTGGCATGCAAGGCACAAGATCATCATATTCATCAATACCAGCCGGTGGATCTGATCCATAATTTATTTGTTATACGCATGCACAGAGTTCATCCTTGACTTCTTTCCGATAGACTCTAGCTCGATGACTACTTGTTCTCTTTGGCTAATTAGCTGTGCCATACCAATGACAACAATTAGATCCATATAATGGGTAGATCAATCATAGCATGCACAGGAACTTAACTGGAAGAGGGACAGTTCTTGATGACAGATGTTCATTTTTGTTTGACCGAGAGCTCATCATCGTCATGTCATATCTGCTAATCAAGACAAGACTGCTTGACGATGTACTGCTCTATTATGCTTATGCAGTAGTATTATACAATGCTAGCTAGTACTATACCTTAACACACATGCATGCGATATGCTAGACCTGCTGCGCATGCAAACAAATAACATGTTTCCCTCATGCTGTGCTGAATACTTAGGGACTCTTTAGCACGGCTTATGCCGGCTTCGGCTTCATCTATTTTTACGCAAATCGAGGTACTGTAGCGTGAAGTCGTTTTGTAAGCCGGGGTTAAAATAAACTAGAAACCGGGAAAACCAGTTTTTCTGGCTTCACCGGTGAAGCCGTTTTGGATGAGCCGTGCCAAAGGGGGCTTTATTAAGAGACCCAATTCCAATATCCTAGTTCGTCAGTACAGCATGCATGATCAGAAGATATAACAATATAATTCGGCAAACAACTATACAGTGTCAAAATTAAGGAGTACCAATATAGTTGTTGCAATCTGTAGTTATATTTTAAGTCGTCTGTCGTGTCGTCGATCCTTGCATGCATGGACCATGGAGTGGAAGTGGAACGAACGAACGAACTGACATAATTAACTTTGGTCAGCGAGCATGACGGTGTTCATCAATGGCGTGCCGACGGAGGTACCGCGGGGGCCGATCGACCTGCGGTCCATGTTCGGGCAGGACGTGATGCTGGTGCACTCCACCGCCGGCCTCCTCCCCGTCAATGAGTACGGCGTCCTCACGCAGAGCCTGCAGATGGGCGAGAGCTACTTCCTGGTCAGTCCTACGACTTCGATCAGTAGTAGGCTGCTAATTACTTTCTCGAATGCTAGCTGAATGATGATGATGATCCACCATGTTCGCTTGATCGTTTCTGTGGCTTATAAGCCGGCTGATACTATTTTGTTGTGAGAGAAAAACATTGTATCATGACTGATAAGCATGGTTGATACGATCAAACAAATATGGTGATCCCATGGTGAAAAACCAACACTACAACGATGACATTTCATATGCATGCAATTTTCAGCTTAGCATAACATGCTGCATGTATTGATCCGACAGTTTTTGTTGTTTTGTTCCCTAATGTTGGACAGGTCACGAGGGGCTAACTAGCTAGCACATTGCATCGCCGATCGACGTCGACCGGGAGCTAGCTAGCTGTAGTGTAGTATTACCTTGGAATTGGCTGTTATTCGGGTCGGAGATGCATGCATGCATACTGCAAACTAAGCAGTGTACATGTCGTCAGTGAACCGTGGACGTACTACGCCGCCAGAAGCTTGCTGCTAGCTGGAGTTACATATGTGTGTGCTCGTCGAGCAGGCTGCAGCTAGCATTGCCGTCCGTCCGGTCGTCCCTGATGACATGGAATGGAATCCAAACGTGCAGTGTGTGATAGACAGGAGAGGCAATGCAGAGAATTGGAGCAGCATGCATGCATGCGTGATATGGGCAGTATATATAGTATAAATATAGCATCAAGCAACATGATATATACAGTTAAAAAGAGTGTACCCAATAGTACTACGCATCCACATCGATCTATGTGTACTCAGATCAATCATATTGCAACCATTTGCAGTTGGTTTATGGCCATTATCGAGGTCATTCTTCACTGTCAGTACTGCCCAGTTCTGTTCAATTCTGAATCGAAATCTGAATGCAATGCTGCTCTGCCACTCTGGTGTGGTCACACATCAGGTAACCGTAACCATCCAACGACGTCGTTAGGGTCAGTCAGGGACGACGACGACGACGTCGATGCGTGTCGAGCGCACTCGGCCGCAAGTGGCGAGCTCACCGCCCCCGCCGACCAAAAGGAGGCCACCGCGTGTCCCGCGTTTCCTTCCGGTCTTGCTTGGAATGAATCTTTGCCGACCGGCCGCCAGCTTCACCAATCAGCTAGCGCACAAGCAGACAACACTACAACAGAGTGGCAGCAGCTACCCTCTTTGGCTCTTCATTCTTTTAATCTTTTCACGGTAGTTGTCATAGACCGATGACAGTCAAACGAAAGTGTGCCTTCTAAATTCTTCTTGGCATAGTACAACAGTAGTAGTACACTACAATGTTAAAAGTTTCATCTCCAGCTAAATCGGCTCTTGCTTTAGTTCCTCTAAAAAAAACAGTTTTTATTTTTGAGTAGCTTTTACTTTTTACTCGGGGCACCTCCTATATAAAAAGAATGCTTGATAAAATTCTTCATAGAAGATAAAAGGATAAAATGATCATAATATTCTTTTCTCTCTTTTTTACCTATGGCCATCCCACGCCGCCTCCACTCGGAGGAAGGAGAGTTCAAGAAGGAACTACACACTTGGACGAAGGAGCTAGGTGAATCCACTATTTTTGGCTTTCGTGAAGGCTTCTGGCTTCATAGAGCAGGAATCACATGCTACGCCCCTTTTCTATTTGGTTGCCGGAGTCAAGAACCTAGGCGTGGAGTGGTGCCAAACAGATCCTTAGTTACTGCAAAGATTTTGAAGGATTGAAACGGGCGACCAGAGGGGGGGTGAATGGTCGCGGAAGCCAAAAATTTATAACCCTTCCCCTAAACACAAAACCTGACTAAATCACGTTTTTTAAATCTGGACAGAACTCTATGTACCTAGTAAACCTGATGTGGACGAAAATCCGTAACTCCGATCGACCTAAAAATTTGTTAGATTAAACTAGATGAAATTACGAAACTAACCTAACTAGAATCACGTCAATCTGACTTACGGATCTTGAGATATCAAAACAAGAACTATGTCGATGCTAACGAGAATTGTAAAGAACAAATCGAAATGCACAAGATCAATCATTATAGATGAAAGATTAAATTGAGTAATTGAACTTACAAAGTGCATCTAGCCTCCGCCAACATCCTCCCTCTCTTAATCGGAGAGATCAACAAAAACCAAGCCCTAGGCTAGAAAGAGAGAATACTGGAACTAAGGGCACAGTACTGTTCACACGTACTGCCACGCGTGAATAGTAACTCTCGCGAGTCCAAAACGTCCTGTTCTCAACCCTAGGTGCCATATTTATATCTCCAAAGGATACCTATTTTCATATATATAAATATATATATATATATGTCCTCCATATAAATATATATCGCGATCTCTCCATATATATATACGATATATGGCTTTGTGGCTCAACCAGAACCCCGGATTTTGTGGCATAATCCGGAAACCTCCCTCAACGTCCTCCCCGCCGTGTAGCCAGTGCATGAGAGCGTACACCGCAAGACGATCGCTTTTCCCTCGAGCGCAAGCCTCGATCCGCCCTTCTCCGCCCCAGCAGTTTTTCGACGCCATCCTATCTTACGTTCTTCACTATAATTTTATATACTAACCACAACCTATACGATAATCATCACCAAGGTGCTAGCCCACCGGCATCTCAGATTTGCTGCAAAGTCAAGCTCTCAAAGAAATTACAAGCTACTAAGAACATACTCTACCACTGGCCCCTCTGCTCTGCTTCTGCACGACTGTACCCATGTCATATATATATATATATATATATATATATATATATATATATATATATATATATATATATATATATTAGTATGGAGTACAAAATAAGTTATTCTGTAGCCACCTCCATTTACGATAATTTTATATACTAATATACGATAATGTCAATACATATTTACGATAGTTAAGTTACTATAACACATGTAGATATTTACCATAACATTATAATAAACCACTTAGTATGGAGTTACTATAATCTCGTAAATTAACATAATAATTATAGTAACTCAAAGTGGCTACAAAATAAGTTATTTTGTAGCCAGCTACAGGGTAGTGTGTGTATATATATATATCCTTTCTGCCTAACACATGCATGACCATATAGGCATATGCTATATACTATCATAAGCTCACTGTTGCGTGATCCCTTGTAGAACACTACTACGTACGTACAATGTTTAAAAAAACAGAGTGCTGACGATGCAACCTAAAGCTCTGCTCTGGCTCTGGGATGAACGAAACAAGCTGGGACAGAGTTCGCTTCTTCGGTAAAGAGGAATCAGACGATTCAAGTGGAGTTTTGAGTTCTCTACCGACCAAGTAGTTTTAGGTGCAGTCTCATGTCTTTGACGACAACCACTGTGTCTGATGCAAAGACCACTCTTTGCTGTCTCTGGTTAAAGACGCCAACGACTGGCCTTCAGCGCATGAGACTGCAGAGCAGACCAAGTAGTTTTAGGTGCTCTCAAGGCCTAACTAACGACCCAGTTCGAGCTCTGCGGGATCAGTGGCAGAACTAGCGGCTTATGTTGTGTTGTGTCATTGTGTGTGACCCAAACGCCTGCTCTTCGGTACTACTCCCTTCATCCTAAATTTTAAGTTATTTCAAGAATTTTGAAGAGTCAAAGCTTCTCAAGTTTGACCAAAATTATAAAAAAAATTACAAAGATTTATGACATCAAATAGATATACTATAAAAATATAATTAACAAAGAATCTATTGGTACTTAGTTGGTATCATAAATGTTATTATCTTATTATATAAACTTGGTCAAACTTGAGATACTTTGACTCTTCAAGATTTTTGGAATGATTTACAATTTGGGATGGAGGGAGTACTTCAGCAGTATTTTTTTAACGAAAGAACAATATTTTTCTCTCATAACAATCAGCATCAACATAAGCTAAATTTCAGCGAAACAAAAAGGGGATAAAATCTAAAATCTTAAAACTGGGTGCCGCGTGACTCAGCACGCATACAAGGGTCGGAGTTCAGAGCACGCGGTTCAATTCGCTGCACCCAGTCACCTGTCACATCTGCAAAGAGGTTAGCTTTACGACCTGTGAGACTTCAGTAGAGGGATGCTGATGGTATAAAGGCAGGCAGCACAACGACAATGGAGCAAAAGGCACAGGGGCATCCCAACTAATCGCAGCGCAGAGTAGAGTAGTCTCTCCTTAAAAAGGCAACGGAAGCACTCTTCATAGTTCTGCTATTCATACCATACATTGGCCGGCAGTGTAACCTGCCGGCTTCTGCTTAAAAAAAAGAAAGAAAAAAAAAGAAAAGGAAGCCCAGGGCAGCATGTTCTTAATCCTACTCAGTACTACTGTACTTCAGTCTTCAGTGCTCATCACTCAATACGGGCCTATGGATGAGAACTAACAGCCTTCAGTACACATAGGCCCAATAACAAAAGCAAGAGAAAAAAAACCCGAGCAGTATAGGATTTTGCACATCAAGTACAGAACTGCCAATCATTTCTTCAGACTGATCCTCTCGTCAGGGGGGGTATACTTGTTGCTGAACAGCGTGTAGTAAACAGGGGATGCCATAGCTGAATGATCAACGTAATACAATACTCAAGGGAAGCTTTTTACAATTATTCTTGTACAACCAAGCACACGCTGGAAACCTGATCATGAACCCAATATGTTGGTGCATGCTCTACAAGGAAACAACAGAAAATTTCAGGATGTAATCTTCCAATGGTACAGTAAGGGTGCCTGCTGCCTTGGACAGCAGCAGCACCTACGTTGCCAATCATTGTACAGAATATAGAACTTTTTTTTCTTAATATAGCATCGTCTTTGAATAATATCACACAGGTTCAGTAATACTCTATTATGTTGTCTCCTGAAAAGATCGCGAGCGTGACAGAGCTGCTGGATTTGCTTGCAGGGCTCGAGCGGCACCGGATATCTGCTCCTGCCTTTCAGGTTTCGACTGGAATGGTCTGAACATGCCTCGATCACCAGGCTCGATCCCAAGGGTGGTCCAAATTGAGCTCTTTGCAGCTTCAACAGGGTCATCGATCCGAAGCGTTTTGGGGATCCATAAGCATCTTTCTGCCTTCTCATCTCCTTGAGGTTTGGAGTCCCTGGAGTGCTTTCCTAGGACAGGAGAGCCGCTGTCGGAACATGTGCTGCTGCTTGTTGGAGACGATGCTGACACAGTAGAGCTAGGTCCGAGCCATGGTGCGTTCCATGCTCCGTTAGGCCAAGGAGTAATGAATGGCCAAACCGAAGGTGGCATGACCGGAACTGGAATTGGACCGCAGAATCCCGGTGGCAGTACAGGCACAATTGGTGGCACATTCCATTGAACATTACTGCTTGTGGTGCCATTTTCTGAA